TGACCCCATCCGCCTCGGGGCCCTCGAGCACGCTCGGGTCCAGCTCAAGGTCGACCTCCACCTGCTGCTCGGGGGCCGAAGGAGCCACCTGCTGCATCGCCGCCTGCAACTCGATCTTGAGCGCGTCGATGTCCACGCGCAGGCTGCGCTGACGATCGTTGAGCTCCGCCAGCGCCCGCTGCGCCTCCTCCACAACCTTATTCTGCTCCGCAATAGACTTGTCGAGAGCCTCGTACTTCTTCTGCTTGTCCGCCAGCTTGTGGCCCAGCGTGGTGGCGCGGGACAGCACTGGCTTCTTGGACTGCACTGCAGCCCGCGCCGCCTTGAGCTCACCCTCCACGGTCTCAATGGCAGACGCTGGCACTCCATCACACTTGCGAAGGGCCTGCAGGGACTCCTCCAAGTGCTGCACTCGAACACGTAGTCTGTCCTCATCAGAGGGCGGTGCGGCTTGGGCGTCGCCGCCACCGCCTCCAGCCTGGGCCGAGCCGCCACCTCCCCCTCCGTTGGCCGCGACACCCGCGGGAGGGCTCGACTTGGCGACAACCTTCTCCATGATACGCTTCTCCATGGCTGCCAGCTGGCCTGACAGATCGGCTGGGGGGCCCTTGGCCCACGCACCGCGAGGGCCGCGAGGCTGCCCAGGAGGACCGCCAGGAGGAGCACGAGCCGATGGGCCCAAAGAGGCAGCTGCAGTGCGCGCGCGCTCCACACTGGCCCTCGGGGCTGACTGCCCGCATACGCAACGTATCCGACAGGCGAAATTCTGGTTCCTGCCACAGCTTGGACACCCCCAGTAGGGCGATCGGGGCCCTGGGAGTACATCCGCCTCATCGCGTCGAGCCATGCAATGCACGGCTTGTCTCAGGAAAGCTTGCTCCACCAGGAGCTCACAAAGAGATTCCGAGCCACAAAGACCCGCAGGAGCGACTGCCGCTCTGAAGACAGCTCCTGCAAGCCCAAAAACTTGGGCCAGAACGGCTAGGTGGAGGAGAAGGAGAGGAGGAGGGAAGAGGAGGAGGGAGGAGGAGGACGAGGAGGAGGAGGAGGGAGGGATGAGGACGAGGTGGAGTCCAACAAGGAGGTTTCGTTCGCCGCTGGTGTCACGGTGGCGGAACTCGCCGCAGGCACCCGGATAGCTTGAACCCCACCCCGAAGCCCATCGGGCCCATCTCGAGGCCCTCCCTGCGCCCCAGCCTGAGCCGGCTGTCGCGCCCCATGTAGCCGCCGAAGGGCGACATCCACAGCGCCATCTGCGTGCCCCACTCCGCGGCCTTGGCCAGCAGGGGCCCGAAGCCCTGGGGGAACACCTCTCTGCGACAACTCATGGGAGCCTCCCATACGAATCCGCGCACATCGGCGCTATTACACGCCAAGTCGGTGCAATCTCATCGATTGCCAGACGCCAGTCGACGCCAGTGCACTCTCAAAACGGAACCACGAGAGTATACAGGGCTCCCACGATTTGCTGCCGAAGGACACCTCCCTGGCGGCCTCCCACAGGCTGTCGTGGTCGTCCCAGCCGTCGTCCAGCAGGAACGCGTCCAGGGTGCCCGCTCCGCGCACGCTCAGGTTCCTGTTCATGGCGTCCAGCCGCTCGGCGATCGAGTCGATGGCCGGAGCAGGGCGAGCCGAGACAGCGCCAACTCGGACTCGCGCCCAGGCCCCGTTGTGGGGGTCCAAACGCGCCAGACTCCCGAGCTCCGTCCAGGTCCGTGGCGACGGGGCCCCCCTCCCACCCCCCCGAAAGGGCCAGCTGCCCCGCGGCCTCCGCTCGCTCTCCTCCGAGGTGGTCATCCGGTGCACGGGCTGGCCCTCGCGGAACAGGTGGCCCCAGTTCTTCTCGCTGCGCAGGTCGTACCTTAACGGGCGACGAACGGTATAGAATAAACTTTCCGCCGTCGGGGGCACCTGCCCCTTGGCGGCTGGAAAGTTCATACCCTTACGGTGGCACCGTAGGGGTATAAACTTTCCAGCCGCCAAGGGGCAGGTGCCCCCGACGGCGGAAAGTTTATTTTATACCGTTCTTCGCTCGCTGAGTACCAGCTGTTGTAGTGCAGCACCTCGCCATCGCTCGGACGTCCACTCCCCGTGCATGTTGCGCTTTCGTGCGTGCTTGTGTTGCCTGATGGTCGAGGATCATGTTGCTCCCATCGTACTTCAGGACCACATCCCAGAAAGAACTTCGAGCACCCAGAAGAGTGTCGAAACAGTGTCGAAAGAATATCGCCTCCCTGGGCCCGACACGTGAAAACCCTCAGGCTCCAGTACCTTCCTGGTGCTCGAGATTCTTTCTGGTGATCCAGGCTATAAAGCTGGGTTGGAACATCACAAGTCGAGTATGCTCCTCGGAGGTCCTCGCGGAGAGAAATCGGGGATGGACAGACCTCCCTTTAGTAAAACGTGGTTCAGTGAAAACGACCTAAGGCTTAAACCTGGCGGGCGCAAGCCTGGAAAATAACGGCCGCGGCGCCCTCTCGAGAACCGAAAACGGACACTTCACTAATTGACGTGTCACTGTTGGGGGTTCTGTCCACCCCCGAAGAGAATGCACACGTCCGAGCGATGCCAGGGCGCCTGCCCCAGCGGCGCGGCCCTCGCCGCCTCCAGGTACTGGCGGAAGCCCCGCCGCAGCTGGGACGGGCGGCTGGGGCCCTCTGCACAGGGAGCGACCGAAACGGTGGCAGGGGCTGAACCAAAAAAGGCTGCTGTTTGATGTGCTCTCGTTATGTTTGTTGTTTTTGAAGGGGCCCTAGGACACACAAATAAATACATACAAATATAACGATTCCCCATATTTCCCCATATGTTCTGGGTTTCTGTCTTCCCCCCCACTTCCCATCGTTTCGCAGATCTTCTGGGAATGTATGTGTTTTTTTCCCTTTTGAGCGTTGCTCTGCCTGTAGCTCCTGAACCTCCCTGCCAGAACAGCGTTCTGGTCCAGCCCTGAAGGGTGGTCTTCGCTGTCGTGCTGTTTCTTTTTCCGCGCTCTGTCTTCGGTCCGCCTTCCTGCTGCAAACACCGAACATTGAAACGAGCACGGCCCAAGAAATCGTCAAACAAACACCGTTTTGGTCCCGCGTTTTGTCTTCAGTCCGCCTTCCTGCTGCAAGAACAGAAACTTGAATCGAACACGGCCCACGACACCGCCAGTAAAGCACCGTTTTTGTTCCCTCGGTTTGTCTTCAGCCCGCCGTCCTACTGCAAACAAAAACGCAAGTCGAAACGAGCACGGACCACAAAATCGCCAGAAAGGCACCGTTCCGGTCGGCCCCTGCCTCATGGCGGCGCGCAGAGGGGGGTAGGGGGAGGGGGGAAGGCTTCTTGGAAGGGGCTGCTTTCTAGACGGTGCAGGCCTCACATCTATAGACAAGGCCCGCGCCTTCTACGAAGCTAGCAGGGGTGCTTTCGGGGGCGCGCCAACATGGATTCGCGATCCATGGAGTTGGCGCACGGGCGCCAAATCCATGGGATCGGGGGAGGTGCCCTCCCCAAAATGCGGCGGGTGCCGCCTCCTTCGGCGGCGGAAATCAGCGATTTCCCATGGAAACGGGACCCGCCGCCAATCCACGCCCCCCTGATCCACGTTTGCGATCGTCTGATGCTTCTAAGAAGCCCTCCCCCTCCCCCCCACCCCCTTCTGCACGTGTCGGGCCGGGCGAAAGGGGGGCATAGCAAAGGGGGGGGGTGAGAATCAGCTCACGTAGCTGATTTTCCAGGCGCCTCCCGGCGCCCATGTATCGAGGAATGGGCACGGCGGCGGGGCCGAAACCAGCTGCACGCAGCAGATTTCGTAACCCCCCGTTCCCTATCCCCCCCTCTCGTTCGGCCCGAGCGTGGCTGGGCCTCTGCATAGAAGCCCACGGAGCCCGTGATGTCCAGGGGCACCGCCGCGGGCAGCTGCAGGCTGCAGACGGCGCGGCCCGCCGCCGCCTCGGTCTCGGCCTCCGCGGCGCAGGCCGCGCGCGGGTGCTCCTGTGGAGATCAAGCGATGACTCCTCCCCCTCCTCCCCCGCCTCCTCCTCCTCATCCTCCTCCTCCCCCCTCCCTACACTCCTATCCTCCTCCTCCTCCTCCTCTCCTCCTCCTCCTCCTCCTCCTCCACCCTCCTCCTCCTCCCTCCCCCCCGCCCTCCCATCCCACCCTCCCCTCCCTCCCTCCCTCCCTAAGAGCCCTTCCCCCTCTCCTCCTCCTCCTCCTCCTCCTCCTCCTCCTCCTCCTCCTCCTCCTCCTCCACCACCTCCTCCTCCACCTCCGACCGCCTCCTCCGCCACCTCCTCCTCCTCCCCTCCTCCTCCTCCTCCTCCTCCTCCCCCTTCCCTCTCACTCCTCCTCCTCCTCCTCCTACATCCTCCCTTCCTCCTTTTCTCCTCCACCTTTTCACACTTATCTCCCCTCCTCCTCCTCCTCCTCCTCCTCCTCCTCCTTATTCTCCTCCTCCTTCTCCTCCTCCTCCTCCTCCTCCTCCTCCTCCTCCTCCTCCTCCTCCCCCTCTTACTCCCCGAACCTCTCCTGGGGTGCGTTCTGACAAGAATTTCGAGGCGAATCCACCGGTGTCGACGAGGGCCTCCCGGGAGGCCCAGAAAGGGGAGAGCGGGCGAAGGGTAGAGGTGGTATGGGTACCTTTTCCTTCTCTGAGCTCCAGCGCCAGCCACAGCCCTGGGGCGTCGGGGGCGCCCCGCCAGAGCCCCGCGTTGTAGCCAGGCCCCGGGCGCCAGGGCCTGCCCAGCAGCGACACCTCCCGCAGGCCCAGGTGGATGCCGAAGCCGAAGGGGTCCACGCTGTCGCTGCCCACCATCGTTGGGGGAACGAACCATGACAGAAACATAGAAACTCGGAGGTCCGCGCAGATTTCTCGGATCCGCGCTGGGCCCCCCCTACCTGGCGCGCGGAGCGCGCCAAGGGCGGCGCCGGAGACGCCGCCAGGGGCGTCCCGCGCGGACCCGAGAACTCCGCGCGGACCCCTGCGAGTCTTCCTGCTTATGTCATGGTTCGATTCCCTAAATCGTGAGCCGCACGTGCTGCGTCGGGCCTGGCCAGCCAGGCACCTCTGAAGGGGCCCCAGGACACACAGATAAATACACACAAATAAAAATATGCCCCATGCTTTCCCATCTTTTCTGAGTTTCTGTCTCCCCCCCCACTTCCCATATTTTCCTTTTTTTCTGGGGAATCGAGGATTCATTGTGTCTGTGTTTTTTTTCCTCTCCTGAACCTCCTCCTGGACGTTCAGCTCGTTCTCGGCGGCCGCCTCCAGAGAGCGCCTCTCTGCGGCCGCGCGGAACACCCGGTCTGGGCCGGCCACCTCCATGCGCCAGCTCCTCGCCTGCAGGGCCCACCAGTGCAGCCTGGCCCCCGAGATCATACAGAGCTCGCCGAGGTCAATCTGGACCCATGCCTCCTGAAAGGGAAACTGGGACACACAAATAAATACACACAAATAAAAGGATTCCCCATATTTTCATATATTTTCTGGGTTTTTGTCTTCCCCACCACTTCCCATATTTTCCCATATTTTCCTGGGGATCGACGATTATTGTGTCTGTGTGTTTTTTCCCCTCCTGACTCCTTGGCGCCCTTCGGAGCAAACCACTCCTTCTGCGTGTCGTCGTCCACCAACTGCTTCGCGGGCCGGTCGCTGGAGTGCCCGCTCGCCTCCGCGCTGCGGGCGTGCAGCGGCGGGGGGCTCGTGCCGGTCCATCCAGGAAACTTCGGCGTGCGTGCCGAGGCCACCACTGGGGAACCATCTACCGAGCCGTCCACCCTCGCTGGAGGAAAACCGAACTGCAGAATCATGAACTTTCGACGGTCCGCGCAGATTTCTTGGATCTGCGCTGGACCCCCCTCTCTAGCGCGTGGAGCGCGCCAGGGGCGGCGCTGGAGGCGCCGCCAGGGGGGGTCCAGCGCAGATCCAGGAAATCCGAGCGGGCCGTCGAACATTTATGTTCATGCAATGTGTTCTTCCTCGACTCGCGCCGTACAGGTGCATCGTTGCGGAAACCGAGGACACCTCCTGTCAGACGAAGCCAGGACGAGGATGAACTCGGGTAAGGATCTCTGAGATCTGGCGGCTCTGGAGAATAGATCGGGCGCCGCGGCCTTCTCAGAGCGTTCTGGAACGCTCTGGAACGGATTTCGCCCTCGCCCCAGCCCCGCCCGATCCTGGCCGGCAGCGTCGCCAGAGGCGGGGCGCAGGCGCCAGCGCAGCGCGGCACTGTGGGCATCCGCCAGCACGCGGGCGGTCCTGGGGAAACCAAACGGTACCGATAACTACCGCTCCTCTCCGGACCTCTTCCGGGTCGCGTTCTGACCAGGATTTCGGGGAGAATCCAGCGGTGGCGACGAGGGTCTCCCAGGAGACCCAGAACGGGGAAAACGGCCGAAGGGTAGCAGTATGGGAGGAGGAAAAGGAGGAGGAGGAGGAGGAGGAGGAGAAGGAGGAGGAGGAGGAGGAGGAGGAGAAGGAGGGAGGAGGAGGAGGGAGGAGTAGGGAGGGTGGGGGGGGAGGGAGGGAGGGGAGAGGAGGGATGGAAGTGGGAGGGATTTAGTCAGGAGAGTAGTGTTGTGCGGAGAGATGATGAAAAGATTATGATAAGATGAAGATGATGAAGATAGATGATGATGATGATGAATGAATATGATGAAGAATATGATGAGATGATGATGATGATGAAGATGAGATGATGATGATTATGATGATGATGATGATGAATGAGATGATGATGATGATGATGATGATGGATGATGAAGCAGAAGATATGATGATGATGATTAATGATGATGATGATTATGATGATGAAGAAGATGATGATGAAGATGAATTAAGATTATGAATGAAATGATGATGATGAATAGATGATTGAAGATTATTATGAAGAAGATGATGATGAATGAAGATGATTGCTGCTTCTGCGTATGAATAGCGGACATCTGAGGCGTACTTCTGTATTCGATTGGTATTCCCTTCCTTTTCTGTGTTATGCTCGGGGAGGCAGCCGTTCAGGCAGGCAGGCAGGCAGGCAGGAGGAGGAGCTCCAGCAGAGCAGCAGCGGAGGCGCCCCCGCCGCGCCCGGGCAGGCGAGCGACAGCGCCAGCCCCTCCGCGGCGGCGCCGCCCCCCGCGCCGCCCAGGCACGCCGCCGAGCCCTCGGGCGCGCCCGCGCGGGGCGGCGGCCCCGCCGCGCGCACGGCGCACTGCGAGGAGCCCACGCGCGCGCCGCCCGGCAGCTCCAGCGCGAAGAGGTCGCCCCCCGCGAGGGTCGGGCGTCGCCAGGGGTGCCCCTTCTCGGAGGCGCCTCCGAGCTCCGTGCTGCTCCGAGGGACCCTGCCCCCCCCCCGATGTCGGCCCCTGCCACCCTCCTCCTCCTCGTCAATCTCCTCCTCCTCCTCCTCTCTCCTCCTCTTCCTCCTCCTTCCTCCTCCTCCTCCTCGTCGATTTCCTCCTCCTACTCCTCCTCCTCCTCCTCCTCCTTCTCCTCCTCCTCCTCCTCCTCCTCCTCTGGACCGCGAGCAGCAGGGAGGTGCCGCAGCTGGAGCTGTGCCCGCGCGTGGGGCCCTGGGAGCCGCTGCGCGCTCGACGCCGCTTCGAGACGCTTCTGGGCGCTCGGGCTTCATCCCGGGACGTGGCCCTTTGGACTCTGGGATTCTTTCTGGGGGCTCTTTCTGGGGATTTTTTTGTAGTCTTTTTCGGGGTTCTTCCTGGGATTCTTTCTGGGATTCTTTCGGGATTCTTTCGGGAGCCGATTGGAGCAACAGACTCCTGGGTGGGGTCCGAGCAGATGGGGCCGAAGGATCGCGCCGCATCGCCAGTGCATCGCCGATGCCTGGGCGATGCACCGGCGAGGCATCGGCGACGTCGGCGTTGGGAACATCGGGCTCCGCATCGGGGCCGCATCGCCGATGCATCGGTGATGCGGCCCGATCCCCCGACCCCATCGACTCGGACCCGATCTGGGAGGCATAGGTGCCCTGGGCCCCAGGTTTCTCCCCAGGGTTTCTGAGGAGGCCCCCTCCTCCTCCTCCTCCTCCCCCTCCTCCTCCTCCTCCTCCTCCTCCTCCTCCTCCTCCTCCACAATTACTCAATCTGAATACTACTCTCCCTCTTCCCCTGAGGACGGTTTGAAAGTGCTCGACCCCCCCCCCCCGCGTATTGTTTTGTACGCAAAGGCTTCCCCGGAGTTGTGTTTTCGCCTGCAGGTTTTTCGAAATGCTCTCGCTGGGGCGCTGGCCTCATTTTCGGGCCCCGCTCGTTCCGAATCGTGCTCCCGCTGCAGCGCTGGCCTCATTTCCGTGCTTCCGCTCGTTCCGAATCGTGCTCCCGCTGCAGCGCTGGCCTCCTTTCCGCGCTTCCGCTCGTTTCGACTCGTGCTCCCGCTGCAGCGCCGGCGTCATTTCCCGTGCCATGCCACGGCATGCAATGCAATGCTAGGTCGATGCTACGCTCTGCGGTGCTCCTCTACGCCATGCCATGCCGTGCTCTACAGTGCATCGCGCACCCTTTCGGGATCATTGCCCTGCTCCACATCAGACTGTGCGAGTAGAGAGGGGATCTACGCCATGGTAAGGGATGGGAGGGAGGGGTAGGATGTCAGATATGACGCGAGCGCACCTAGCTTGTCCCCCTCCTCCTCCTCCTCCCCCTCCCCCTCCCCCTCCCCCTCCTCCTCCTCCTCCTCCTCCTCCTTCTCCTCCTCTGAGGTCGGTGGTCTGAGGCAGCATCTGCGCGGCGCCCTGGGGGAACTCGAGACAGCTCAAAACCACAGGGCGCACCTAGCTTGAGAATACCTCTCTTTCGCCCGCCCGCCCGCCCCGCCAGCCCTGGCCTCCCGCCTGCGCGCACGTCGTCGTCTGCCTGCTTCTCCCCTCCTCGTCCCCTCCCGCCGGGCAGCACAGCCTGCCAGGGACCAGCGTGGCGGCGTGTAGGTCTTGAGCCCACTCATGCCCAGACTCCCTCTATGATTGCCTCGTTCTCGAGGCACTGCGAGCGAGGAGCACCCCTCACGAGGCCCAGAGGGCCCCAGGGGGCTCCAGGATGGAGCGAACCGCCGGGGCACCTTGGGTCAGGGGCACCTTTAGCAACCCCTGAGAAGGCGATCCCCGCGTCCAACTCCGCCGGGGCCCCGCCGGCGCCGCCCAGCCACCTGGGGTTAGGACGGGCATGTCCTCCTACAGGCGGATTTTCGACGAAGAATGAAACAACAAACAAATATTCGATTCAAAAGATATCCGAAAATCGTCCCCAGACTATTTTTCCTAAAACTATCCTAAGTATTTCTCCTGTAGGGGGACAGGCCCCTGTTGCGAGGAGAGCTCTGGACGCGTCCGCTTCCCCCAGGCCTTGCACCCGGCTGTCGCTTTGGCCCGGGAGCGGCGCCGTGCCAGCCTGCCTGATGACAGGAGGGCGCGCCCAGAACCCCGACGTGTCTTTATATGTTTTTGATTGCTGTTTTTGTTGCTTTGACTTTGTATGTTGTTTTTTTCGGGGGGAGGGGGGTGCTTATCGGAGGTGAGGGGGTGAGATCGAAGTGGAACGGAGAGCCCCCCTACCGGAAAATCGGTTTCGGTTTCGTGTTCGTGCGTGCCGTGCGTGCGGGCGAGGCGAAACTGCGTGGGCGGGCGAGAAATGTCCCGCCTCTGGCTGAGGCGCGGCCGGACCAAAAGTCTCCCTTCTGGCAACCGGTGCCGCGCGGTGTCCCGCCGGTGTCCCGCCGGTGTCCCGTCGGTATCCCGATAATGATGATGATGATGATGATGATGATGATGATGATGATGATGATGATGATGATGATGATGATGATGATGATGATGGCCATGGTGGTGATGATGATGGTGTCCCGATGATGATGCTGCTGATGATGCTGATGATGATGATGATGTCCCGATGGTGATGACGATGATGTTGATGATCCTGATGATGTTGATGATGATGAGGATGATGAGGTGATGAGATGAAGATAATAAAAATGATGGTGATGATGGTGTCCCAATGGTGATGATGACGTTGATAATGATGCTGTTGATGATGATGGTGATGATGATGGTGTCCCGATGGTGATAATGTTGATGATGATAACGATGATGGTGTCCCGGTGATGATGATGGTGAAGATGGTGATGAGGTGATGATGTTGATTTTGATGGTGGTTGCAGATTGATGATGATGCTGATGTTGATGAAGATGATGGTGTCCCGATGGTGATGATGGTGGTGATGATGATGATGAGGATGGTGACGATGATGATGGTGTTCCGATGATGATGGTGTTGATGATGATGGTGTCCCGATGATGATGATGTTGATGATGTTCATGATGGTCATGAGATGATGATGGTGATGTTCCGATGATGATTACGATGATGGTGTCCCAATGGTTTTGATGTTCATGATGATGATGGTGACGGTGATGGTGCCCCGATGATGGTGATGATGCTGATGGCCATGGTGGTGATGATGGTGTCCCGATGATTATGATGATGATGATGTTGATGATGCTGATGATGATGGTGTCCTGATGATGATGTTGATGATCGGGATGATGTTAATGATGATGAGATGGTGATGTGATGCTGCTGAGGATGATGATGATGATGGTGTCCCGATGATGATGATGATGATGATGATGATGATGATGATGATGATGATGAGGTTGATGATGATG